TTACAGCTTGTCCAAGGTCATTCATTATTAATACTATTAGTAATATCTTCGTTAAAGACTTTGATGGCGACAGCTAAAACATGAGAGGTTGAGCTTTATTAGCTCCACCTTGCGGAAATTCCAGATACTATTATTTTAATTGCAGTATCATAGGAAAATTTACGGTAACTCGCGGTAGACCGCGTAAAGCGCAACGCAAAATAATGCGGTATCGCCCGCGCATTTTGAATGGCTGCATCTGTATATATTCCAAAATAAAAAACACCAAAAACACAAGCAAATGCACTACAATGCCAACTTTTCATTTTGTAGCATACGAAGGCTGTCAAATTCTATTTACAGGTTGTTTATATTGTCTACTACTTTAGATACAACATAAATGGAGACTGAGCACACATACAGATATCTGTATGAGGTGTCGAGTCTTTCTCCACCTTGCAGTTTACTCATTGGTGTGTTATCTTTGGATGACTGGGTGTGACCTCTGACTCAAGGTGTAATAATCCTTTAAGAACAAACACTATCATCATCCTAAAACAACAGGTGGATAACACCTCTTTCTTCTACTTCAGACAAAACAATTCAATTCTGTCTTCTACAACACACAGTTTGTCTTTCCATTGAGAACTGTTACAATGAGTAACACACTGTATTCTATGGAAGTTTTAACAAACCACTTGTGGCAACACAAGTAATGTCTGATGTTAGTCCTCTACTACAGTCAAAATTTTTCACCTTATCAGCAAAAGCACCTCATAGCTGATATACAAAATGTTATCGCTGTTCTGTAAGGCAGACAATACATAACTTCTCTATAATGACACACATTTCCTCTGTCCTGTACAATTCAAAACAATAGTGTTGTGTTTATTGTAATGTGACTCCTGCAGGTTTATCTCAGACCAGTTCTGTGATAGAAGGACCTTTAGGCAGGGTGCATGCTGTGGGAAATTTATACACTGTGTACCTGGAGAACCAGACTGGACTGTGGGAGATCAATGTCACATCCTCAAGGCCCTGCACCATCAAAGTCACAGGTGAGCTGTCGCACAGTCTATGTACTGATCTTTTGAATTAAGGATAGTATGTTGTGTATAATACAACTTGCATTATTTGTAGAAGTTGATAATATTGCTGGGGCTTTTTTTCATGGCATCACTACACATTACTGAGTAGTAATTATTTTCATTGGCTTACTGTTTTTTTTTTCTTGTTTAAGAATTCTCTTTTCTCTTTTCTATAATATTTTTTCTGAAATTGTTCCAATGGATCAGTTCCTGTGCATCTTCACATTCACTAAGTTTCTTTTAGGATTACAGACTGTTAACAGTTATGATTTTGTGTTGTTAAGTTCTTCAAAATTAGAACTAGGTAAAGTGTGTATGGTAGCGCAGTGGTTACCATTGCTGCCTTACAGCTACAGGGCCCCTTGGTTCCATTTCTGGGTGTTATAGCCAGTGCTGCCCCCCAGAAATTTAGGTGCTACAGACCCAATAGCTAGACTTCCGGCTCACACCACAGGCACAAGACAATCTGGCACCAAGCCAGCCCGAGGCAACACTGTTTGCTTGAGTCCACAGCTGGAATCCAGAAGCAAGGACTGCAGGGTGTTGCTCTTATTAGATTTGCAGACGATTACTGCAGCCGATCTTCTGAGGAAAAAAGGCCATGCAGGATGGAGAACATCCTGCTGGAGTTGCCCAGGGTGAAATTATGCGGATTGACTGACTGGAGAGCTGGAAGAGCAGTCCAGAGCTGTGCTTCATATAGAAAGCATTGGAGGGATGAGGAGTCTAATTTCCCTGGCTGGCAGTCTTATCCACAGACCAGGCCACTTTTGCACTGTCAGCCTGGTCTCCTAGAAGACAGTCCTCAGGAGAAGCACTGTCTGGAAAAAGACAGAACCAGATTTCCAGGCACCATCAGGACTGGGCAAGGAGACATCTGCTGAGCTTCTCTCTCAACCAATGGAATCCTCCAGGCAGCACAGCCACAGGCAGAGCTACTGCCGAAGCCCCAGGGAACTAGAAACCAGGAACATGAAGGGCTCCACTTGAACACTGGAAGGTGGTTTAGGATTAAAGTGAAAAGGAGTCATCAATCACCAAGGAGAGATAGTGTAGGGTTTAAATACTCTCAGAGCACCTGCTGCAGTAAGAGCTCTTACTACAACCAGGTGGTCTGCATTGTTACACTAAGCCCGTGGATTGAAAATGGGACACGGCGAATAATGATTATCGTAGTTGGTTCAGTGATGAAAGGTTTATGGTTTTATTGAAAGATTAATGAATTGATAATAGAAATCAGAGTGGGAGTCGTGGGAGGAGTTTGAGGAGGAGTCCTGGGAGAGTTCCTGGGAGAAAAGTAGCTACAAACTCCTAATGTCTCAATGTCTCAGGGCTTTAATAGTGTTTGAGGTTTGAGCTTAAGTATTATATGGGTAGGAAGTCTAATGAGCATTACCTTTCCATGCAATCAGGAATGTTATTCACAGACGTCTAGCCAAGATATGTCAACTCTTTGTTGGAATGGGAGCACACATTAACTTGATACCCAATACCAAGATATAAAAGGGGAGAGTGAAAAAAAGGCTATAAAAACAATTTCAGGTCATTGTCATGAGGAAAGCTCTTCAGTCTAATACAAAGAAGATTAAGAGATTTGGTTTGACTGGTTTGAACAATTTCGACACAATTGTTCCCAATAAGCTGGTCCTGAAACTTTAGAATCTGGACTTGTGCAATTCCATCTGCAACTGGATACTGGAGTTTCTGATGGGTAGACCACAGGTACAAGAATGTATGCCTTGTTCATCTATGACTGTACAGCCATTTACAACAGCAACCACATTATTAATTTTTCTGATGACACCACAGTTATTGGGCTGATCACAATGATGAGTCTGGATACAGGAGTAAGGTGGAGCACCTAATAAGGATTAACAAGACAAAAGAACTCATTGTGGACTTCAGGAGACCCAAAGGCAGTCTCGCCCCAAGCAGTATTGAGGGCAAACTGCCAACTGCTTCAGATTCCTCAGATTGCAGAACTCCGCAAGCTTGGCTTAGCCTCACAACAAAAAAGCCAATCTGAAAAGGCCCAACATCGCCTCCAACTTCTGCAGTGCCTAAAGGAATGCGGTATGGGGAAGCAGCTACTCTTTAACTTTTATTGCAGTACCATAGAAAGTGCCCTTATTGGTGGAAAGATTTTTTGAAATTATAAATAATAAAAAAATGAAAGCTGTGTTTAGCAATTTCTATTACAATAACTGCCAACAAATGAAGGGTTTTTGAAAGAAGACGTTGCATCACATTTATTTGGGCTGATGACTATGTCTGTTCACAGGTCAGAGTGTCATCGGTTTCCTGTATTCCTTTGTGCAGCTCTTTCAGGGACCTCACCCTGGCTTGGCATTGATCGAGGGGCGCCCCCAAGTTGGTAAGATAGGAAAGTCAATTGTTTCAGGTGAAAATGGGTACATAACAAGTGAAATGCTGATGGTGGCATGTGGTTGCTTTAATGTTCTATTAATTTTCTTTTTTTTGTATTGACACACAGTTTACCTGTATCAATCTCTCTATCTCTGTTTCTCTTTCATCTTAATTTCTAAAAATATTTGGATATTTTTCCTATTTTTTCAGATTTGTGTCTGAATTTGAATGTATTATCCTGCTTTATAAAACAGTGCTGCAAAAGAAAAATCATATATTTCTTCTAGAGAGACAACATTTTCTTATCTAGACATGACTAAGCAGAGAACTTAAATTTCCAAGTAGATTCTCAAATTTAAAACTCCTTTTTTCAGGATTTAGGGCTTCATTATTCACATTAAATTTGATTAAATATAACAATATATCATACAGCAACATTCCCAAGGTAGAATATGGAATATAGCGTGAACAGAAAAAAATGATATTTAGTACAATATGTGAATATTTTAAATACATTGACATTTTTCAATTATGATTTCTGGAAATATGTGGAATATCTGGATGTCATTATCCTCATTGTCACCCATAATCTAGCTCTCAGCCTTTCTCATTGTTTTTTTTTTTTCCACAGGCAAGAATGCCACTCTGTTAGTGTCAGTAACGGGCTCCGAGTCTTTGAGAGTGACAGAGGTCTCTCTGGTGTCGGCTTCTGGTTCAAGAGTGCAGAGGGGCAGTGTTACTCCATTGGACAGGAATGACAGGAGAGAATATCTGGTGTCAGTACCCAGTGTACCTGCAGGGCAGTTCAGTGTCTTACTGATTGGGGTGGACAATACTTCATCCACACCCTTCCAGAGGCAATCCAACACTCACTTCACATCCACCAGCATTGAGGTCAAGGCAAGTAAACACTCTTACCAGCAGTTTGGTGGGTAAGGTTGGGTAAACAAATGTTCAACTGAAATTTGTCTTTTTATAATTAGTTTAAACATGACAGATACAGATATTGTCTTTTATTTTCATTCTTTATATGTTTTTGTTTCCTTTGACCTCATAAGGTTAAAATTAAGACAAAAGAAGTCTGATGTCCTTAGCATGCAATAAACATATCCTAAGCAGTTGAGAGTAACTATAGTGCTGGCATGATTGTGTTACTTTGTGGGACGATTCACTGGTGAAATAATGTAGACTGTTCACCTCACAGGCTCAGGCCAACACAATTCTGGAGCCTGGAAAAGATTTCATCATCCCCTTCACTGTAGCAACCAATGGGATGGGAGAAACATACACCATCAATGCACGAGATGACAAGGGATTCATCAAAGCATTCACAGACAAGTGAGTACAACAAAAAAAACAAACAGAGGAAGAGAAGTCAGTAATATTGCCCCAACCCCCGGAGCACTGGATTATTGTTAATAAAAGTCTTGGTACTTAATAGAGTTTAATTTAGTTCTGATTCATTTCCAAACTTTACATATTAGAGGGAGCATATTTCCTCTGTCACTTGGGTCATGCATGACAATTTTTATGTCAGCAGCTCAACTATAAAGTAATTCTGGAAGACAAAAGTGAGAAATTGCCTCACCAGTTGAATTAAGGGGAAACCTTTGAGGCCAGAAAGTCCATTTGCATAGATACATTTAACAGGGGTTATTTGTGGACGATTTTCTTGTCCACAGGGAAATGTGACACTTTACTGTATTGTAAGCACTACTGCAGTAAACTGGATTTGCTTCGTTGACTCCAGTACTAGCACATACCTTATCCCGCTTAGCTTTTATGATCTGAAAGGGTACAATAATGCTATTCTGCATTGCAAAAATGAAAATGTGAATATATCATAAAATAGTAGCTATTTTTCCATTGGATAGTTAGTATTCATGGTTAGTAACATCTTAACAAAAATAACCATGTTCAATCACCATGGTTTGACAAAAGTCAGGATTTTCAGATTCATGAATGCTCAAGAAGAGTGACTTGTATCTGGTTACATACAGATGCAGCCATTCAAAACGAGCAGGGTACGCTGCGGTAAAATGGGGTGGGCATGTCGCATCACAATGCGTCATAACGGGTCATATTGCATCATACTGTATAATTCCGTAGTTATGATATTAGTATCCAGAATCACCACCAGGTGGAGCTAAAAAAGCTTAACCTCTCATGTACAGCATGAGAAAGCACCATGTGTTTTCTGTCACCAGAAAATGCATAGTTTCAAATCCCAGTCACTGCTGAAGGACAATCGTTTTCCAATTAAGAATTAAAGTTGTGTACTCTTTAGACTTTTAAGAATTTTAAACCGTGTATTACAGCATGTTAATCATTAAACATTAAAACGTCGGTATATTTTATAAAAGCAAGATTGCTCAGTTGGACAAAAGTACACAACCTACCACCTTTATCATAAATATTTTAATTATGCAGAAATATTTTATGCATCAAAATCTTTACAGAAGATATTACTAATAGCATTAATAAGGAACGACCTTGGACAGGCAGTA